CGCCGCCCAGAAGTATATGCAGTGTCTGAGAAACAACAACCAGCCAATTCGTCTAAGAGTCGGTACTGTGAGTACCACAAAAGCAAAACGCATGACACAGCTAGCTGTTCGGTGCTAAAGAAGGAAATGGAGGAGAAACAACTTAAGGGAGACCTGGTGGAGGTGGCGTGAAGCCTACACGCCAAATTCGATGCTAAGAACGCCAAGGGTCCATCCCACGAAGGAGTTCAGCCCAAGGAGATATTCATGATACGCAGCAAAAGAAGTAGGGAGGAACAGCGAGGAGAGCAAATCATTATTAAACCACCAGCATGCGCGCTCACGTTCTCCATACAGGATCCTCGGCCAGACGGTTGGAAGGGCGACAACCCTCTGATAATACAGGCATCCATCAAAGACGTGACTATCCATAGGGTCTATGTCGACACCGGGAGCTCAGCAGACATCATATATGAGCATTGCTTTCGGCTTCTCCCGGATCGCTGAAAAGACAATTTGCGAGCTACGACGGGTAGGCTGGTGGGATTCACCGGCCACAGCCTATGGCCGTTGGGCACGATCCACCACCCCTTAACAATCACTAGCCACGACAAGCAGCGGAAGAAGACCGCCCTGATAGACTTTGTGGTCATTCAGCACTCGTCGGAACACAACATCATCTTGGGAAGGACCGCCCTCTTGAAGCTAGGGGCCGTACCTTCAACCATGCATGGGATCATGAAATTCGACACACCAAAGGGCGAAGCCACGATTCTGGACACTCCGTCCAAAGAATTGCGGCGCTATACGATTATGAAACCAGTAGAAATAACCAAAGGGCCCAAGAGGCCCAGGGGCAATCTGGCAAAAGGGAAGGAGGTAATCAATGAGGGATATCCCGATCAGCCGATCGATGTTGGAAGCAACCTCCCAAGCCACATAAGAAGAGAACTGATTGACCTGCTCAAACGCTACAAACATGTATTTGCTTGGACCCCCACGGATATGGTGGGGGTAGAAAGGAAGGTCATCGAACATAAGCTGATGATCAAACCGGGGGTAAAAAAGGCTAAGCAGAAGAAAAAGGTACAAGGAGGAGACCGTAAAAGGCGATCAATGCAGAAGTGTCTAAGCTAGCGGATGCCGGAATAGTGAGGGAGGCGACGTTCCCAACATGGATCGCAAACCTAGTTATGGTCTGTAAGCAGGATGGGTCGTGGCGCATGTGCATCGACTTTTCTGATCTAAACAAGGCATGCCCTAATGATTGCTACCCACTCCCGAAAATCGATCAGAAAGTAGAGTCGCTATAGGGATACAAGCTAAAATGCTTCTTGGACGCATACAAAGGGTATCACCAGATATTGATGAGCAAAGAAGACGAAGAGAAAACAGCCTTCTATACAGACCATGGCACGTTCTGCTACACCAAAATGCCTTTCGGGTTAAAGAATGTAGGGGCAACATACCAACGGCTAGTTGACTCGATATTCGCCAAGAAAATTGGAAGGAATATTGAGGTATATGTAGATGATATGGTGATCAAGAGCCCAAATGAAGAAAAAATGCTGCAAGACATTGAAGAGACTTTCAAAACATTAGAGGTAGCTAAGATGAAACTAAACCCAGCCAAATGCACGTTTGGAGTGGAAGAGGGGCAATTCTTGGGTTACTATGTTACTAGACAAGGCGTCCAACCCAGCCCGGTCAAGGTCGACGAGTTCATCGAGATGCCAACACCAAACTCTCTTAGAGATGCACAAGGTCTGAATGGGAAGCTCACAGCTCTAAGTAGGTTCATCTCAAAATCTACCGACAAGGCTATGCCACTGTTCCACACCTTAAAGGGATGCATCGAGAAAAACAATTTCCAATGGATGAATGAAGCTGAAAAAGCGCTCCAGAGAATCAAGGAGGCACTGCACGAGCTGCCGACCCTGGCAACCCCCATTCCGGGAGATCCATTACAAGTGTATCTATCGACGTCAAGTGAAGCGATATCATCGATACTGGCTGTGGAAAGGGAAGGAGAGCAGAGACCGATATACTTTGTTAGCAGAGCGCTGCAAGGACCAGAACTCAATTATCCCACGCTGGAAAAATTGGTGCTGGCACTTATTTATGCTGCGAGACGATTAAGGCGATACTTCCAGGCACATCAAATCGAGGTACTCACAAGCTACCCCATTAAACAGATCTTGCTTAAGCCGGAGACATCGGGTCGGCTAGCCAAGTGGGCAATTGAACTGGGAGAGCATGACATAAACTACCGCCCAAGAAAAAGTATCAAAGGGCAGGCGTTGGCTGACTTCTTACTAGAAATTCCCGACAGAGGGAATCCGGCGAAAGAAAAGGTGTGGGTAGTTGAAGAGGCCCCTACCAGCGATAGTTCATGGACCCTGTATGGACGGAGCGTCCAGCAGGGAAGGTTCAGGGGCGGGGCTGATCCTGACTAGTCCAGAAGGAGAAGAGGTAACCTACGCCCTCCGCTTTGACTTCCATACATCGAACAACGAGGCGGAGTATGAGGCACTACTCGCAGGATTGCGACTCGCCAAACAGATGGGTGCGAAAGTTGTAACAGCACTAACCGACTCAAGGTTAGCAGCGAACCAAGTCAATGGGAGTTTTGAGGTGAGAGACCAAAGAATGGGAAGGTATGTAAAGATGGTAAATCAACTGATAGGATCATTCGGCCAATTTACAATCAAGCAGATACCCAGAAGTGAGAATAAGAGGGCAGACTCTTTGAGCAAGCTAGCGTCCACTTGTTTCGACCAACTGTCAAAGAAAGTTTTAGTGGAGGTGCTCCGGGAGAGAAGCATTGATGAACAGCAGGTGAACATCCTGACCCCCGCAGGCCCCACTTGGATGACGCTGTTCCGGGTATACCTCCAAATAGGGGTGTTGCCGGACGACCATGATGAAGCTAGAAAAATACGTATAAAGGTGCCCTCATACGCAATGGTGAACGGGGAGTTGTACAAGAAAGGGTTCACGTATCCATGGCTAAAATGCTTAGATCAAGCCAAGGGGAGAGAGATATTGCAGGAAGCACAGTCAGGTCAGGTAGGTGCACACGAAGGAGCGAGGGCTTTGACAGGAAAGGTGCTACGAATGGGGGTATACTAGCCAACGATACATCAAGATGCAGTAGAAGTAACCAAGAAATCTGGGGAGTGTCAATCTTACGCCCCAGTCCAGGCGGAACCCCCGGCGCCGCTAAGCAACATATCCAGCCCATGGCCTTTCTACCAGTGGGGCATAGACATAGTGAGTCCATTCCTAGAAGCACCAGGGAAGCTGAAGTATATGGTGGTAGCCGTGGATTACTTCACAAAGTGGATTGAAGCCGAACCATTGGCATGCATATCTAGGAGGCACATGATAAAATTTTTGTGGAAAAATATCATGACAAGATTTGGAACACCTAGGGTTCTCATCAGTGACAATGGCTTGCAATTCGCTGAGAACCCGTTCAGAGAATGGTGCACTGGCAAAGGGATAAGCCAACGCTTCACATCGGTGGCACACCCCCAAGCGAACGGTCAGACGGAGGTATCCAACTAAACCAATGTCAATGGGATCAAAAAGAGGTTGGGCAAAGCAAAATGGAATTGGGCGGAGGAGATACCAATGGTGTTATGGTCATACAAGACTACACCACGGAAAAGCACAAGGGAAACCCCTTTCAGCTTGATATATGGGACTGAAGCCATGCTCCCCATGGAAGTGGCAGTGAATACGCTAAGGGTGGCCAAACAAGATAAGGAAAGCAACGTACAAGGCCTGAGGATAAACTTAGATATCCTAGAGGAGAAGCGCGAAGAATCGGGAGTACGCCAAGATGCGTATAAACATGCAACAGAAAGGTATTACAATCAAAGGGTAAAGGAGAAGGCCTTCAAAGTGGGTGAGTATGTGTTGAGGAAAAATGAGGCCAGTCGGGCACAACCCTAGGGAAAGCTAGGCCCAATGTGGGAAGGCCCATACAGGGTCATAGAGGCAAACAGGAATAGGGCATATGTGTTAGAGATGATGGAAGGAAGACCCATTCCAAGAACATGGAATGCTAGGAACCTAAAGAAATGTTTTTTCTAAGGAAGAGGAAAGATGTAACTCTAGTTGGTTGATATCCCATTGAGTATATGGAACCTTAGAAGTACTTAGAGTACATTTATCCATGCTAAGTGACATGAGAATTGATACTCAGTGTATTCCTATATTTAAAGGCATGAGTTTAGTACTCGACATATATAAAATTTCATGCATAACCGACATGAGCTTAATACTCAGTGTATTTAAAAAAAACCCACGGTTAAATAGTAATGCAATTGCTGATTTCTCATACTTAGTGTAATAATCTCCAACGATTGAATGATGAGTGCTAAGCGCACTCAATGTGAACACTTAGCGTGTCAATAATAACAAACAAGGCAAAATATTTGGCACATCTTGAGCAATAGGCAATAAACGAATAAGCCAAGCACAAAACACAAAAGGAGATAATAGATAATGCTTAGTGCATATCAAACACATACAAGAAAAAACATTGTTCTGGGCAATTCAATCATTGCAATGCAAAGCACATAGACAAAAAAAAAACAAGGAAATATTACAGCTTCGAACCATCATCAATAGACTTATCACCAACCACAGCCCCCTTCACAACATCATCCGCACTCACTTTCCCAGCCAACCCATCAAAAACTTCCCTATCATCTGCCACCTCATCAACATCGCCATCTCCAGCACTTGACCATCACCACTAGCACCACAATCTTTACCATTCCCTCACACACCAATATCACCCACAAGCACCATTTCACAACTCGTAGCATCCTCAGGAGTGCCCTCTGAACCAAAAGAACACAACTCTCGCAAACCATTAATACCCACCTCTCCCAGACCCAACAGACCTGCGTGATCCATACTAGCAAAGGATAAGAGAGCATCACTTACGCTAATCACAGGCCCGACAGACAGCAAACTAGCACCCGCCTCCCCACTTTTACCACCACTTAAATTTTTCTGGACAGGTCCCCTCGCCGGGCCGAAAAAGTACACTTGTCACTGGTAAGGCAGAACCGGAAAAAGAACTTGAAAACGAAATAGTCGAGAACATATCCATTGGCTCTACAGATCATCTCGAAGGCAACCACTTTGTTAACAGTGTTAGGGGTCAACATCTGAAGACTGCAACCATCCTTTTGAAGAACCTCCTCTTGGAAATCTGTTAGAGGCAATTGTATGCCAGCATCTAGGGTTTTTTGGAAAACCCCAATTTTTCCAGGGGGGGGAGAAGAGATACTAGAGCCAGTAGAGGGAAATTCCACACCTTCTAAGGAGGATAAGCCATACATGACCTCTAATTTTTGGTACTCGGCAGAAGAAGGGACGATCCCAGGAAGATTAGCCATAAGAGAGAAAGAAGAATGAACACAAAGAGAAAAGAAGAACAGAGGAAGCAAAAGAAACTATCCAAAGACCCTCTTAAAAAAGAAGAAGAGGCGGGATATTTAAATAAATGATGTGATGATGTAACTGCCAACAGTCACGTCACCATTAAAAACGGAACGACGGATAAAGAAAAACGAGCACGCGTCATTCAGTTAAGTCCAAAACGCCGTAACTAGCGCTGCAACGCTACGGCTACTAGACTGGGGGACTTGATGGCGTGCCTAGGGCAGCACAGCAGAGTTGCATCCAAGCCCTAGAACCGGGCACACCAGCCAGATCCAGCCCAGCAGGCTCAGCGCCCACTGGCGCCCCCGGGAGCGGAACGCCCAGGCGAAAGGCTCGCGTCCGCCAAGTGACGCTCTTCGCTCCAAGACAAAAGTACGACCAGGAGACAAAAAGCGGGATCAGAGCATTACCGTCAAAGCCAATGAGAGCGCTCTGATAGTGGAAGACGCATGACCCTCCAATTAGCTCCTCTGATCCTGTCTCCCCAAAAAAGCGATCATGTCTGGTATGGACTAGGTATAAAAGGACGCATTCTCATACCAGCGAGGTAAGCTCCTCAACCGATCTAGAAAGAACAAACACAAACCCTAAAGCCATCCTAACTTGACCGTCGGAGCGTTCTCCCGGGAAGCGGTTGACGGCCTTTGTTCTTTATGATCTTGCAGATACAACCAGGCAACCAAGAAGGTCCCATCCCAGAGATAGAAGCGAGGTCTCATCAAGAGCAAGGTTCCATCATTACATATTACACAAACTAAAAAATATAAATAAAACTTTAATATGTTGTGTAAGTGAAACTTTATTGGTTTTAACCGGTAAATGGAATCGAATAAAATGAAACTAAATAATCAAAACCGATAAAACTATATCTTATTTGATTTTGTTACGGATAATTTTGAAAAGTTAAAGAATCCGATTAAATCGACCCAATAAAATCTTATGGTTTTAACCGGTGATATCATTAATATTGTCTAAACTTTGAATTCGATTTTATTTAGATTCAAATTTCATACGAGATGTGAGGACATCCAATGCCATGTAGGAGCATTCCTTTCAAAAGTAGAAAGGTTGGCAACATCATTTTATATATATGGTCCCAAAGATGTTCAACACATGGTTGATGGGTAGGGTCCCGGACTCCCGATTGTTTTTGTAATCTTCAATGTGAAAATCTTGTCATTCTGTTGCTTGAAAAAATTTGTTTGAGAACCCGCAGACTTAAGTAGTGTTTGTTTTTTGTCTGCAAATCTGTGTGACCTCTTCTGTTTGCGTCGAGCATACCACACGCAGACATTAGCCTTCGCAGACTGTTTGTTTTTTTGAAGACTGCACACCTAAAAATGTCTGCGCGCCCTCTTCTTGATGCAGATGTGGACCAGAGTCTTCTATCCTAAAAAAACATATGTATCTTTATTTTTTTTTTAAGTTTTTTTTATTAATTTATAGTTTTTCCAACTTTATTAATGATAAGCAATTTGAAAAAAAAATTACAAAACTTAAAAAAAAAAAAAAAAAAAAAACATTTGACGATACAAACATGATATTTTTGACAAATTTATAAATAAAGATTTATTACAATAATAGTAGTTGAAGCTGTTTATATAAATATGAAAAAAAATCATAATATATTCTTATATTTTTTTGCCAAATTTTAACACAATATCGTCAATTTCTCGAGAAAATATTTATGGTACATTTTTAGTGGATTTAATTGAAAAAATCGAAGTTTATTTTCATCCATTTATGTATCAAATTCTTTGATCACTAGTTATAATATTTAGTTATAACTTTGCAACCAAAGTTGTTGGTTTTTATCAAATATATACGTTAATTCGTACCATTTTTATTTTTTATACAATAATACATAAAAGTTGATCTAGATTCGTTAATTGTTTATAACAAAGTCATAAAAATATTAAAAAATCCCTTTGAAGTTTAAAAAAATCAGTTTATTTAGATTTCAGCTTATTTTAGTAGCCCGCAAATGTTAAAAAAACAAACAATCTTCTTTTTCAAGACTGCAGCCGTTTGGTCCACCTCTTCTATTGTAGAGGTCTACAGATGTGGTCCGCAGACTGCAAACATTTTGCCTCAGAAAAATCAAACAAGACCTTAGTATTTCACAAGAAATAATAACTTAAAATGGGCCCAATCTAATAAAAATCTTTGTATAATTGTCGCCATTATTGTTAGAAATTTTGGTATAGAAAGGCTTGGAAATTTTGAGAATTATTATTATCACTTTCAAATCGAAGACCCTTGTTCGTTCAGCGCTTTGACCCTAAATGACAGTGTACTTTGAAACTTGATCAAACTTAAATAAGTATGTGCTCCACATCTTTCTTACTTGTTTATTATTTCTTAAAATCACTTTTGGTCAACAAAGTAATTCCATTACATTTATGATAATAAATCACCAACAATTATTGTTAAAAAAACCAAAAACAACCAAGAAATTCATATTCCTTTTTTTTTTTAATATTTATCTTTTCTTTTTATATATGATGGCCACCGCCGGTTGGTTTTCAATTTTTCATTAATTTTAGGCCCGTGACTAATTAACATAGGAAAAGCCCTTAAGTTGGGAGTACTACATATCTTCTAGCTTCAGCCGCCGGCCCGGCGCCCGCCACATTAGAATTAGAATGTTAACTTTCCATCTACTAATTAACATTTCTATTTTTGGTAATGTGTAACTAGTGAATGGTCAAATCTTATAATTACTCTACAAAAAAAGAAAGTTTATGTTTTAAATTAATAATATCTGTAATGAAAGAAATATTCCATATGAGCACGTTATACGTAGCTAGTTGTATATATGAATGCATGTGTATTTGGAACCAAAAACATAGAGATTTAGAGTTTTAAGACAAGAAGATGGAGAACACCACTTTAACTTTAGACAAAAATATAATCAAGAAAGGTGCATGGAGTAAAGAAGAAGACGACAAGTTACGAGCTTATATCCAAAGATATGGCCACTGGAACTGGACTTTACTTCCGAAGTTTGCTGGTACACTATAAGCTAGCTAGCCACTTCCAAAGTTCTCAAAATACGCAAATATATTTCCATTTTTCATCACTTAATTAATTACTTATTGTTCATTGATTTTTTTTAAGGTTTATCTAGAAGTGGGAAGAGTTGTAGGTTGCGATGGATGAATTATCTTCGCCCAAACATCAAACATGGAAATTTTACAAAAGAAGACGATGAGATCATTGTGAGATTGCATAAACAGCTTGGCAACAAGTAAGTTATATAATGCAATACCATTACAAGTTTTTCGAATATTAAATGTTGCTAAATAGAATTGTTGCTTTAATTTGTAATATTGATCAATAGATGGACTGTTATAGCTGCTCAGTTGCCGGGAAGGAGTGACAACGAAATAAAAAACCGTTGGAACACGCATTTGAAAAAACGAGTTGAAGATGAACAAACTCAGGTGTTAGAAAACATTAATCACGATGAAACCATCAAACCTAATGAAGCCCCTCAAGGTTCTTCTAGCACTTATAGTAGCTCAAATTATCATATTCCAAGTGATGTTACGCTACAAACTTATGATTATGAACTGAGTGGAGACTTTTGGTCCGATCCATTTTTAGTGGACATTATGTCGCCAGTTGATCAGAACACAACGCCCTCGGATTTATACCACAATTTTGGCTTTCACTCTTCTTGGGATGATATGACTATGAGTGAGGACTTATCATGGTCAGCATTGGGTTCATATTCTGAATACAACAATTACTGATAAATTGGTTTCGTAGTCAACATGTCCAATAAATTATGTCAGTATAATACAATAAAGGACTTGTTTAGATTTCTGTATATCGTTAATATAATTATCTTAATACGATTTAAAAAGTATATACGATCCATAAAATATGAGACATGTCCCCGGCCCTCTCCTAGCATATAATGATTAGGTTACATACTTGCATGTGAAGACTTTGTTAAATTTAATCTGTGGATATTTTTAAAATTTTATGTTGTACTCTACCGTGTCATTTCACTATGCGCCAACACTTGTGGCATGGAGAGTGTATATTTTGTTGAAAAAAACTAGGTCATCTAGAACTAAGAATAGTTGACTTGGCTTGGAATTTTGTTTTATATTATATTTGAAAAAAAATATGATAGGGCGTTGTCGGCAAAATTAGCTGGTAGCGGGTAGCTTGTAGTATTTTGTTAAACGCTACATGAAGTAGCATTTGAATTTGGAGCGTTTTGTTTAAATTAAATGCTAAGAACTTGTAGTGCCGAACGAGATTTTTTGTTCAAAATGGAGCGTTTTGTCAAACGCTAGAAACTAGAAGCTCTCAAACACTTCCAAACGCTCCATGCCGAACACGCCCATAGTTTATAGGCACAAACTGATTTAATTGTTATCTCTCAAAGAGGGGCGGAAGACAACTACTAAAACCAGGTGGCGATGTTCTTCTATTATCAAAATAATTTAACGAATGTCGGGATTGCGAGTTAACATTATCTATTATCAATCTGTAAACTGATATACCACGTTAGTACTATATTATTAATAATGTTATAAAATTGATCATCAAGAATGCAATATTTATTAAAATGAGAAAAAAGATTATTTTACAATTGTTCTTAATATTTTACTTATAAAAGACGGATGACTCATAATTCATAAGAAGCATAACTAATTAAGTTATCATCGAAATTGTTGATTAACTCACTGTAATAGATTAAAAACTAACAAAAATTATCATTTAAAAATAATAATAAAATGACAAAATTGAAAATTTTTGTCCTGGTTGGTCAAATTAGGACTTTGGTATAAAAAGTTTTGGAGTTGCACCATTAAATCCAAAATAAAAATTTTATTGTAATTTTGGTTATTGGTAATTATGAAAGTATTATTTTGCTCTTATCATTTTCTTTTTCTATTTCTTGTATTTATTTAATTATTTTTAGAATTAAAAAAAATAAAAAGAAATTAAACCTTCCACCTAATAACCCACATTTCTCTTTCTTTCCTATCCCGCCGGACACCACCGGACCGTCGGAAATCACCACCACTCTCGCCGTAAACCAACATCAAATCGTCGTCACCTTCTCAGTTCGTCTTCTCCATCGAAAATCACCACCATTCTCAACAGAAGTCGTCACTAACTTTTCCATTTTCGCTGTTAATTAGTTGCCGCCACCACAATTCAACGTTGCCTCCACCAACTTGTTCTTTACCATTAGGGTTTTCAGTAAATCCTCTAGCGTTGTCTTCCTCATTTTCTGAAACCTTAACATCGCCGCCCATTTGACAAACATATCTGCTGCAACTCGACCTTGTACGATGTCGATCTTGTAAAGGACGAACCCTAATTGCCACTGGAAAATTGAAGGAGAAGAAAATCGTTTGAACTAGCTGTTGTCGATCCGACGAACAGATCCTCTACAATCCATCAACAACTTCTATGTTTCTCCCTCCTTATGCAACTCCGATTACCGAGCTACTTTGGGTCTCCCTTATTCTACAACGTTGGCCATGACTACTTTGTTTCTCCATCATCTATAATTTCGACCATTGAGATTGAGTGGCACAGGTGTCCAGATCTTAAACCATTGTTTATTTCTGACATTTCTTTCCTTGATTTCTGAATTTTATGTATAAGATGAACACAAAATTAATTGTGGGAAAATAATATGATGCTTGTATGTTGTGTTTGTGTTGAATCTGGTTCAAATCTTCATCTGGAAATGGTTTTCAGATCTTTATCTATTTCATTTTTGTATGTGTGTATTAATTAGGAAGATAAATAGATGGTGAGGGTGTAACACCCATAAAAATCATGCCAAATTCAAACTTTTTCAAAACATTTAAAACCATTTGTCATTACAAAGTTTGTTTTTAAAAATAATAAATAACAGAGTTTTCCCAAACACATAAATAACACATGAGAAGCTGTACGACCACGCCTTTGCTTTGTCGTGATCCCCTGATGTACCTGAAACAATAAACTGAAATTGTAAGCCCAAAAGCTTAGAGAGTTCCCCAAAATACCGATACACTACACATAATACATATACAAATAACCGCATGTATTGGGCCCACAGTGTGAGTCTGGATTCCCTTCCGGGCCTACAGCTCACATCTGGATTGCCACCGAGCCCACAGTACGAGTCTCCCTTAGCTCGTATCTGGAATGCTCCCGGGTTTGTTGGTTACTGCACGGAGCAATATCACCTCGACCCATCCCACATAATACGTCGACATATAACACAACTAATGTACATACAGACGATCACACAATACTACAGGTAGTCCTACAGATCTACCTAACTGGCATAGCAACTAACATGCAACACTGACTCATACTTAACATACTACCAACTGCTAGGATATCATATCCAATGGGCCGGCCTTGGTGCCTTAGACCCCTTAGTATAGTGAGGTAACTCACCTCGCAATTGTCGACTCGAAAGGTAAGCTCAAACTCTCGGACCACCGCTACAAACTCCACCACCTATATTCACCACACAACCATGCTCATAAATTCCCAAAATTGCCCTAGAAGTCCAATAATCAACCCTTGGTCAAAGTCAAAGTCAACTGGCAAGGTCAACAGTTCATGTTGACCTTAGCTCATCGAGTACAACCAACCACTCGCCGTGTTCCTTGCATGACTCGCCAACTCGCCGAGTCACTTGAGTGACTCGTCGAGTGCCTAATTTCTACGGCTGTAAACTACTTGGCCAACTCGTCGATTTTCCCTGCAACTCTCCGAGTTCATGCCTGTCCAAAGGTCGAAAAACCCTAGCTGACTCGCTGAGTCTCTCTACTGACTCGACCAGCCCATGACAATCTTCATCGGAGTCGTCGAGTTAACCATGCAACTCGCCAAGTCCCTTTAGTCCTTCATCCATTTAGATGCTTTTTAAGCCATGATAAGGTTCCATATTGCAGATCTAATTCCCCAAGGCATGTTTATCACGTAAAGTTGTAAACTTTACGTGCATGCAAGGCTCTAAAGGCTTCAAATGACAAATCCAAGCTTGAAATGGAGGTTTGCACCTAAGGAGAGTCTCATCCTTGAAAAGCTGGAAGCTTTATGGACTTAGAGATCCAAGAGAGTTCAGATCTAAAGTTGAAAATTCAGATCTTAGCTCATACATAAGAAAAGCTTCCTAATATGCTAGAAAAGCCCTTAAATTCACCCAAAAGAGATCTAGAATGAAATGAGGTCAAGATCACGACTTGATAACTTCCAAAGGATACCAAATGAGGTAGATTCCAGATCCCACGTCCACTCGGACCCCCATCGGTGCTCCCACTGTACCTTTACCAAAGGTATCTCTTTGTTCCGTAGAATCTTTACCTTCTTCTCCAGAATGGCGATGGGCCTCTCAATATAATTCAGGCGCTCATCGACCTGAATGTCATCCAATGATACTACCGCCTCCTCATCCAGAATGCACTTCCACAATTTCAAAACGTGAAAGGTGTTGTGGATCCGGCTGAGCTCATCCGATAGCTCTAACCTGTATGCCACCTTGCCAACACTAGCAACGATCTTGAACGGCCCAGTATATCGGGGGACCCAATTTCCCCCGCTTCCTAAAGCGAATAACACCCTTCCAGGGCGAGACCTTCAGGAGTACCATGTCTCAAACCTGGAACTCTAACTTAGATTGGCATTTGTCAGCGTAATTCTTCCGCCGACTCTGAGTGGTCTGCAGTCGCTGTCTAATCTGCTAAATCTTCTCGGTAATCTGCAAGACTACCTCTGTCTGTCCCATCACCCTATGTTCAACTTCACCCCAACAAACCGGGGTGCGACATCTCCTCCCATACAACAGCTCAAAAGGCGGAACGCCAATGCTAGAATGATAGTTGTTATAGGCGAACTACACAAGGGGTAGGTGGGAATCCCAACTCCCACCTAAGTCTATGACATACGCCCTCAATATAATGGTCTGCTCGCTCTTACCATAGGTTTGCGGATGAAATATTGTGCTAAAGTGCAACCGCGTGCCCAGTTCCTCGTGGAACTTCTGCCAGAAATGGGAGGTAAATCTAACATCTCGTTCGGATACAATGGATACCGAAACCCCATGGCAAGCAACGATCTCGCAAACGTACATGTCGGCCAACTTCTCGGCCGACGAACTCTCCCATATCGCTAAGAAATGGGCACTCTTGGTCAATCAATCTACGATGACCCATATAGCATCAAATCACTTCGCCGTCCTTGGCAGCTTGGTAATGAAGTCCATCGTGTTCTGTTCCCATTTCCACATGGTAATCTCTAGGGGCTACGGCATACCATGCGGCCTCTGATGCTCGGCCTTGACCATCCTACAGGTCAAGCACCTCTCGACATACCAAGCAATTTCTCGCTTCATACATGGCCACTAGTAACTCAAACTTAGGTCTCGGTACATCTTGGTGGCCCTGGGATGAATAGAGAAGTGAGGCTTATGAGCCTCCTCCATGACGGTCTGTCTGACCTCACCAGACATCGGAACACATACCCGACCGCATTGGGTCAATAATCCTCGGCTATCCTGCATAAACCGGGTGTTCTCACCCTTGATCCTCTCTATTTTACAGTTCTTCGGTCGCATTCCCTCAACCTGAGCATCCCTGATCAAGTTCACAAGCGGAGAATCTACCGCTTTCCTCATACATATTGTTGGGGTGGAAGACCCAGCTGACTTTCGGCTCAAAGCACCCGCCACCACATTCACTTTACCAGGGTGGTAAAGGATCTTGCAATCGTAGTCCTTGAC